CCACCGTTACGGTGGAAAATTCCCCCCCCTCTTCGTAACCTGGGGGTCCCCCCCCCTCCTCCGAAAGTATCCCCCCCTGCTGGAACCCCCCGCCCCCCCCCTCCCCCCTTCCCCCGGGCACCCCCCCCCCTAACACACACCCCTCCAGAAAACCGGGGGGGGTCACTACCGGTTCGACCCCCTCACCTCCCGTAATGGTTGTATATCAGCCCCCTCAAACAAGGCTCGCGTAAGGGTCTTCGAGGCGCGGGATTCCCGTGGACGTCCTCTCTGTGTTTTCCTCCTCCGTCCTTCCACGGGGTCATTTTGAAATATGCATCTGGATGAATTCGTTTGTAATCAGCCACAGAAGGAACCCTTTCGTACTCCGCTAAAAAATCTCTTGTGGCGCAAAGGGGTGGGTCTGGGCGACGAAAAAAAAAAAACAACAAAAAAACAAAAATGACACACACACACACAGCGCTTTTGGTTTCCCAATGTATCATTCCTGTCTGTTTTGTCTGTTTGTCTTTTTCGTCGCCCAGGCGCGTCGCCCGCTCGGCGCAAGGGGATGGGCCTTGGCGACGAAGGAAAACAACAACAACAACAACAACAACAACAACAACAACAACAACAACAACAACAACCATTTTAAGGTTGTACGCTCTTACTTGCCCGCGAGCCATTCAACACGTATACCCTACACCCTCGATGCCCGCCCTCTTCGTCTTCGATCACACCCCTTTCGGGGGGATTATTTCTCTTTGCTGGGGCCGGCGGGCTTAGACGTACGGGCAAACCGGAACGGGCGGACAATCCTTCGGGGGCGTACATCTCTCTGCCCGCCATTGGAATTGGCGCGGGCCCTGCAAGAGGAGGAGGGGAAGAACGAGGGAGAGTGGGAGGAAGGGGAGGGGGAAGGACGAAGGAAGAGGGAAGATACCACGTTGTGAAGGCGTCCTTGGCGCGTGCGTGGTTCCTGAGCGCCGAAACGCAATTCCAGAATAATTTGCGAGGACGTCGCACGCGAGAGCGCAGTCCTGAGTACATTGTAAGGAAATCTCTGGCGGAAGCGGGGGCCCTGACTAAGTTGCGAGGAAGTCTCAAGCGGGAGCGCCGTTCCTGAGCAAATTGCACGGAAGTCTCAGGCGGGAGCGGGGGTCCTCACTAAATTGCGAGGAAGTCTCAGGCGGGAGCGCCGTTCCTGAGTCAATTGCGCGGAAATGTCAGGCAGGAGCGGGGGTCCTGAGTAAAATTCGAAGAAGTCTCAGGCGGGAGCGCCGTTCCCACGTAAATTGCACGGAAGTCTCAGGCGGGAGCGGGGGTCTTGATTACATTGCAAGGAATCTCAGACGGGAGCGCCTTTCCTGAGTAAATTGCGCGGAAGTCTCAGGCGGGAGCGGGGGTCCTGAGTAAAAATCGAAGAAATCTGGAGCGGGAGCAGTTGTTGTTGTAGCCCGGGGGGCAGGGGCACAGTTTGAGCAGGAAGACTTTCCTTGAGAAAAAACAGAAGGGTGCGAGCCCCGGGGGTGGCACTTCAATCGAAAAAATCAATGTGCACCGGTGGGGGGGGATCAACAATAATTATTCTTCAAGAATGAGAGTTCAACAACAGCAACAACAACAACAAAATGGGAAGCCAGAAACGCTGTGATTTTATTTTTAAAAATGGCTATTAATTTAAAACAGAAGTACACCAAAAAGATAGTCTGGGAGCACGGAAAACCAATGTTTTCACTGTGCTTGAGCAGTTTCGAATTGTCTTTTCTGTTTTTTTCTTCTTGTTTTCCACTACAGAAAAATATCCCTCATTGTTGTGTGTCTGTTTTTCGTCGCTCAGGCGCATCGCCCGTTCGGCGCAGGGGGGCGGGCCTGGGCAACGAAAAAAACAGCAACAAAATCTGGGAGACCGAAAACGCCTGCATTGTTAATCAAACACGGTTTTGACTTAAAGACAGAAAACCAACAAAACATCTGGGAGCACGGAAAAATCTGCCTTCACAATGTTGATGTGTGCCGGATTGTCTTATGCGCGCTTCTGCTTTCGATTAAAACTATTTGTTTGCTTAAAATCACAACGCTTTCGAACTCCCAAATTACCTTGTTTGTTTCGTTGTCTCTTTGGTCTTTTCGTCGCCCAGGCGCACCGCCCGCTCGGCGAAAGGGGGCGGGCCTGGGCGACGGGGGAAAAAAAAAAAAAAACAAAAAAAAAATGGGAAGCCAGAAACGCTGATGAAATTGAAAAAATGTCTGCACTTACAAACCCAAGTAACAAAAAAGTGGGAGACGGGATAACCTGTGTCTTCGCAGTGTTTGAGCAATTTCGAATTGTCGTTGGCCAAGTTCTTCCGTCGTTACGCAGACGCCAATTGTTGATTTAAAAAGCAACGTTTTATTATTATCCCAGAATGGCTGGTTTGTCTTGTCTGTCTGTTTTGTTTTTCTCGTCGCCAAGGCGCATCGCCCTCTCGGCGCAAGGGGGCGGGCCTGGGCGACGAACGAGGCCCACAAAATCTGCGAGACATAAAAACGCTGCATTTCTGATGAGCATCTGTTGTTAATCAAAAACAGAAAAACCACAAACAAACAAACAATACTCAACCACGTTGAAAACACGAGTTGCCCCTGCCTCTGGATCGCCCGTCGCTGCGTCTGTTTTTAACGAACAACTATTTTAAATTAAAACACAGCGTTTGTTGTTTCCCACGATGTTTTTGTTTGTCTTGCTGCGTGTTGTTTGTCTTCGTCGCCCAGACCCATCGCCCGCTCAGCGCAAGATGCGTGGCCACCCCTTTGCGGGTGGCCTTCGGGTGCTTTCGGGTGCCCATGCTTTTGTTTTTTGCATCGGATGCCCGTGGGCACCTGGCACCCGCTTCCGCTTGGAATTCACCCGCGGCGACCGCGGCCCGCGAGGGCTACCTGACCTGCGTTGCACGGCGCAAATACGCGCGCGTTTCGCCTTTTCAGGGCGCGGAGGACTTAGCACAACGGATGTCCAAGTATTGAGAAATATTCCCTAGTTGTGCGCACGCTGGTTTTATGCTATCTTCCGCGGGTTTTCACGCCCCCCCGTTGGAGGGCGCCGCGCGCGGCAATCTGCCCCGACGCCCCCGGGCTGCATTGGCTCGAATTTGTAATTGTAATTGCGCTAATGGAAATAAAAAGCATCAGGTACGGTGGGCCCCTTGAAAAGCGCAAACGTGATGTCGTTTTTTTCCATCGGAAGGCCTCTTGGAAAGGGACACGCAAACGGTAGGCCCCTTGGAAAGGAAAGCACAATCGTAATATGCATTGCAACAATATTCGCTGGAGCGTCCACGACGGCCTCGGCGAGAAAACAACCAACATTGTTAACTGTTCGAGGCGATTCGGGCCACGCGCTGGCGGCGAAGCCGCCGCGGCCCCAAGGTTGCCTCATTTGGACAATGGTAAACACGTTTCGTAAGATACGCAATGGTGGGAAACAACCCCAGACGAACCTAGCCCCTGGGAGTTGGCGGGGCACCAGACGGCGCCCGAAGGGCGCCGACCGAAAGGTCGGCCCACGGGCCGCAACATATGACGCGATATACGTGATGCGCGATGCACGCAAACGAGCAGGAGGAGGAGGAGGCGGAACAGGAGGAGGAAGAGGAGAAGGAGGAGGAGGAGTGGGCGCCCCCAGACAGCGCCTTCGGCCCTTCGCCCTGCCCAGACCTTCCAGGCGCAGGTGGAGGATAGAGGATGGGACATGGGGGGCGGGGGCGATGGCGCGCGGGGCGCAAGAGGGGAAGTCGGCAAACAGGACGGAGGCACGAGGTCAAGAGGGCGCATAAGGAAATGGGGAATGGGGGAGGGCAAGGGTCTAGACACTCGCCAGCGTTGGCGTTCGACCCTGGCAGGCGCCTGCCGCCCCCCCATCGTCTGGATAGGGTATACCTCCTCCTCCTCCTCCTCCTCGTCCTTCCCCTCCTTCTCCTCCCACTCCTGCTCCTGCTCCTCCTCCCCCTCCTCCTCCACCTCATCCTCCTCCTCTTCTTCTTATTCGTCCTCCTCCTCCCCCTCCTTCTCCTCCCCCTCCTCCTCCTTCTCCTCAGGGGCCGATGGATGCGGGAGGGGGGGGCCACGATGGCAACGCTGAAAGG